GCCAACTTTACAGCGTATGGCTTAGACGGAGCAACATATCCGAGTCTCGTCGCCTCCGGCTATACAACGCCCTCATTGTACCCATCCTCCTGTACAACTGTGAGGTATGGGGCCTTACTGCAGCAAGCCTCTCAACAATTGATGTCTTCCACAGGAGACAGCTCCGAGCTATAATCGGTATCCGCCACCCGGACCACATCTCTAACGAGAACTTGTATGCAAGGTGCCAAGCGGAGCCAATGTCAGAGACGATCCAGCGCAGACGCAGAAGGATGCTGGGTCATGTGTTGCACATGCCAGAAGACACCCCCGCAAGCAAAACCATGTCCTGCTACTTTGCTGCGGACGCCACCGCGCATCGTGGAAGGCCAAAGACAATGCTGCCAACAGTATCCATCAAGGACACTGCCCAAGCTGGCGTCATGATGAAGTCCGCCAATAGCCTACGTCAGTCCAGATGTCTCGCAATGGATAAGATCAAATGGAAAGGACTATTTCAGAAACACATACCCTATTTACCGCGGTACTCAATGTGAGACAGAAGCGGAACAGGCATACAATTTTCATTGATATGTCTTATTACGCGCGATGTATTATTATTATTTTTATTACCGTTTGTCTCTTTCCCTCAAACCAGTTAGTATTATTATTATTATTATTATTATTATTTCAAAATTTTGAAGGACGCTTCACGCAGCTTCATTATACTTGAATTGTTTGCAGGCAACCTGCCTACACTCAAGAGAGCACTGCATTTCACACAAATCCATTGGTATCGTTACAACGTTTCGGTCTTTATGACCATCATCAGGAATGAAGTGGACATGGAAAGAACAGCAGTATAAAAGAAGGAGGCAAGCAAGCAAAGCGCGGTACATAGTGACAGCGCGCGTAGAGAAGTGCAAAGCACGTCATGGCGGGTGTGCATTACTACATATACATGACAACACAAGCACAAACGGCGAGGAAAGTAGATACTGCGCTACAGCAGTGATAACAGCCCAGTTCCAGTCTCACACCACCAGTGAGGTGTCTAGAGCCCCGCGCCACTCGCAGTAAGGTGGTGTTATAGCAGATCCCAGCCACTGTTATTGTTAATTTCCGGGGATCGCTCCCTGATATTGATGGCCTCCCGGATCCTCCTCCTGGGGCGGTCACGCTCAGAACCGAGAACCCGGATACCTGAGAAAGCCGTTGCTCCCAATGGCAATGGGTCAGATGCATGCTTGGCCGCGAAATGCTCACCCAGCGCGGTGCCGCTCACTGTGTTGCGTGCGTCGTCGTTGTGTTCTTTTGTCCTGGTAGCGAGGCTGCGGTACGTCTCTCCGACATATTTATCACCACATTTGCACTCGAGGTGGTATACAACATTTCGCTCCGTGCATGCCCCTGAACCGGACATGCAGGCGACACAAGCAGCTTTGGGCCGCCCCCGTTTACGGGGCCTGGACGGGTCTACATACCTGCGGCATGGTGGTTTGCGGAGGGCAGACGTGCAAATCATAGAACTTAGACGGCGGTTCCTGTAAATCAGCTGGGCATTTATCTTGTACTTCCGGAGTAATTTATGAATTTTGTTGTGGATATACTCGGTGTGAAACGGTAGGTTGAGGGTGACACGGTATTCATTCTGCACTCTGACACGTCGGGGGCGCATAGCTCGTTCCCGTGCCGAAACTATAACTGACTCTGGGAAGTTGTTGAATTTTAGGATGTTGGTTACTTTTTCTTCACTTCTTTTTTAGGGTGTCGGCATCGGAGGATAGGCGGACGGCACGCAGGAACTCAGAGGAAGCAATTGCTTTCTTTTGCTGGTTGGGAACTGACGAGTTGTAGTCTGATACCAGTCCGCTGTGACATGGCTTGCGGTATAGTTCATAGGATATAGATCCATCTGGTGAGACATGGACGGTCGTGTCCATGAAATTGATTGAGCCAGTCAACTCCGTGGATTGGTGAGTGAATTTAATATTAGGATCGGCATTATTGAAGTGATCTAGGAAACTCTGCAGAAGTTCCGGACCGAGGTTCCACACAATGAAAACATCATCGATGTAGCGCTTGTACAGAACTGGGCTGGCAGGGGCACTACGCAAGAGCGAACTCTCTAGGTCATGCATGTACAGGATGGCAAAGGGGGGCGCTAGGTTATTGCCCATAGCCACACCATCCTTCTGGTGGTACACCAATTTCATGGACACGACCGTCCATGTCTCACCAGATGGATCTATATCCTATGAACTATACCGCAAGCCATGTCACAGCGGACTGGTATCAGACTACAACTCGTCAGTTCCCAACCAGCAAAAGAAAGCAATTGCTTCCTCTGAGTTCCTGCGTGCTGTCCGCCTATCCTCCGATGCCGACACCCTAAAAAGAAGTGAAGAAAAAGTAACCAACATCCTAAAATTCAACAACTTCCCAGAGTCAGTTATAGTTTCGGCACGTGAACGAGCTATGCGCCCCCGACGTGTCAGAGTGCAGAATGAATACCGTGTCACCCTCAACCTACCGTTTCACACCGAGTATATCCACAACAAAATTCATAAATTACTCCGGAAGTACAAGATAAATGCCCAGCTGATTTACAGGAACCGCCGTCTAAGTTCTATGATTTGCACGTCTGCCCTCCGCAAACCACCATGCCGCAGGTATGTAGACCCGTCCAGGCCCCGTAAACGGGGGCGGCCCAAAGCTGCTTGTGTCGCCTGCATGTCCGGTTCAGGGGCATGCACGGAGCGAAATGTTGTATACCACCTCGAGTGCAAATGTGGTGATAAATATGTCGGAGAGACGTACCGCAGCCTCGCTACCAGGACAAAAGAACACAACGACGACGCACGCAACACAGTGAGCGGCACCGCGCTGGGTGAGCATTTCGCGGCCAAGCATGCATCTGACCCATTGCCATTGGGAGCAACGGCTTTCTCAGGTATCCGGGTTCTCGGTTCTGAGCGTGACCGCCCCAGGAGGAGGATCCGGGAGGCCATCAATATCAGGGAGCGATCCCCGGAAATTAACAATAACAGTGGCTGGGATCTGCTATAACACCACCTTACTGCGAGTGGCGCGGGGCTCTAGACACCTCACTGGTGGTGTGAGACTGGAACTGGGCTGTTATCACTGCTGTAGCGCAGTATCTACTTTCCTCGCCGTTTGTGCTTGTGTTGTCATGTATATGTAGTAATGCACACCCGCCATGACGTGCTTTGCACTTCTCTACGCGCGCTGTCACTATGTACCGCGCTTTGCTTGCTTGCCTCCTTCTTTTATATTATTATTATTATTATTATTGCCAAACCCACCAGGACTCGAAACTGGGACCCTGCTTGTCATGAGCAATGTTCTAACCACTGAGCTATGGGACCAGGCTGAACCTAGAAGGCGCTGACAAGTTTTTCACTCCAAAGGCAGCTCACAACACGTGCCACACATACTGATGGCACTTGGGTCTTTCTCCCTCCCCCAGGGGACCAACCATGGTCAGTTTCTGGACCCTACCAGAAGTGAAAGAAAAGTGATTTAAAATAGTCCTGGTGGGTCTGGCGGTTTTTTTCTCTTTTCAGGCAGTTCACTTCTCCAACTGATCCTTTGCATTTGAAATTCTCCCAATCCGTTCAAAAATTAATCACTTTCTTTCACTTCTGGTAGGTTCCAGAAACTGACCGTGGTTGGTCCCCTGGGGGAGGGAGAAAGACCCAAGTGCCATCAGTATGTGTGGCACGTGTTGTGAGCTGCCTTTGGAGTGAAAAACTTGTCAGCGCCTTCTAGGTTCAGCCTGGTCTCATAGCTCAGTGGTTAGAACATTGCTCATGACAAGCAGGGTCCCAGGTTCGAGTCCTGGTGGGTCTGGCGGTTTTTTCTCTTTTCAGGCAGTTCACTTCCCTAACTGATCCTTTGTATTTGAAGTTCTCCCAATCCGTTCAAAAATTATTATTATTATTATTCATTGTTGGGATGAAGTTTATCTTGGCAACTAGTATTCTGCCTGCAGACAAGCTGTCACTGCTTCCACTCTGTGAATAATGTCTTCATCTGAAACGCCAGACGTGAGGCCAGCTCCTGAGAGGCGATCTCAGATGGAGATCCCTCCCATTTGCGGAAATCCTGAAAACACGTGGTCAGAAGTTATTTTGCCACTCTGCATCCTTTGCTTGGCCTCTCATCTTCTCCTTGAGATCCGGGTGAGTGGACGTATGGTTTGCCACAATATTCTTCCTTTCCGATAGCATTTGACTGTAGGCCTGGCATTACAGCCGTCCACAACTAACTGTACGTGCTTCATCAGGAAAGTAAGACAGGCGCTGCTGAGCGCTCCAATCGACTTGGTACTGAGTCCAGGAGATATTCTAGTTCTTTTCAAGCCTCCTGAGCTGGACTTTTTTGGAACGAGCTCTTTCTGTTTATAGCCGCTCTTTCATCCTGGTCCAAATTTAGCAATGCATCAGTGTCGCCTTCTGTATCGCTAGAGATGCTATCGCCAGAGCCTCTGGCACAACGAGAAAACTCTTCTTCGTCTGTTTGATATTCACTTCGCGTATGTCTCCTCCATAGCTCTCCATTAGTCTAAAAGTAAAGGAAACGTCGTAAATCATTTCTCCAGGTTTGTGTCACTTGAACTGCCTCGGCCGATCGGCGCGGCGGCCTTGGTTGGGCATGCTTCACAAGTGGCTTGTATACATTTACCTAGCTACATCGCTACAATCAAAACGTTTTTATGTAGCAATAATGTAGCATTAGTGTGAAAGGTGTTACGTGTCTACACAATCACAAAGTCATGCGCCTGCAATAGTGCTCGAATGCCCAGAATGGGCAGAGCGTAGCACAGAAGAGGTACACAAAAGGAAGTAAAATAGGGCTGTTTCGTTGTTACTCAGAGTTTCATGGCAAAACCCAATCATCAGACAACATCATTCTCATGATCATGATTGTAGCCGATTGTTGCCAAAAACCTGGGATTTCCCGATAGAATCCACTATGAAACACGTTCAACACGCCGCTCAAACCTCACATAATGCTCGTTTTGTTCCTTTCTAATGCTCCATAATGCTCTGATGCTCGGATAGTCTTATAATGCCAAATATAATGCCGGCATTTATCCAGTGGACCCTAACCACGGCCATACATAAAGTAAGAGGTAAAACCAGAGAGGAGCAAAATCAACAGCAACAACAACTCTTATCTCTTATTGGCCACTGGCTATCGTGAGAATAAAGATTTGAAACTCTGTAAAGAAAGAGAATGTCAAATAAAAACAGTGAAAAGCAACAGAGACGCAAAGGACATGTGGATAATGAGCTACTTATGTCGTAGTAAATAAGGGGCGGCAAGGATCTTGAACAGGCGGAGTGAGATCATATCCTTAACTTCCCTGGGCAGAGTGAGCCAAGCAGAAAAAGCAATAAAGAGAGGGGAGCGCAAAAGAGTGGATAAGTTACACTGCTTACAGAGCTTCCAGCTCAAATTTGATGCTTGGCTCTGCACGAGACACCGTTTTTGGCACCCATTTGGGCTTCTCCTGATCCGGACGTCTTGGTAGAATACGGAAATTGAGCAATACGGATGTCAGCAGCACTTTGATTTCGTTGATTGAAAACATTTTCCCAATGCAAATGCGTGCACCAATCCCGAGTGGGAAGAACGAATTCAATGGCCGTGATGCTATCTGCTCGCGAGAGAAGCGACTTGGATCAAACACCTCTGGATCCTTCCAAACCTCAGGGTTGAAATGGAGAGCGAAAAGCATCACTTGAACTGGAGTATTCGCTGGAAGAACATAACCTCCGATCTCAGTCTCCCGATCAATGCTGCGTATCAGCGCATAGAAAATAGAGGCATGCCGGAGCGTTTCGTTGATAAACTGCATGAGGTACTCCATTTTTGATAACAGCTCAATGGTGACATTCTCCAAGCCGGAATTACCAAGCACGGTCTCGATTTCCTGGCGACATCTCTCCTGAATATCTTGGTGTTCCTGTAGATAGTACACTGCCCACTGCATGGCTGTTGATGATGTGTCATGACCCGCTTCCAGGAATGTTTTCACATGGTCACGGATCTCAGCATCGCTGAAGCCATGGCCGTCTTCATCTCTGGCGTTGATGATTGCATCCAGCATAGTCTCATTCCTGTCCATATCGTCATCAACTCTAGCTTCTTTGTTGGCCAGGACTGTTCGCCTATCGCTCACAACTCGATTGGCAAACTCGTCTGCATGGCTCAGAAGTCGCTTGTACTCTTTCCCTTCAGCCGTGAGATAGTAGAGAAAGTTATTGTGCTTAGTCGGGGTTCTCAATCTAGTTACTGACATGATCGACAATTGCTTCAGTGCTTGTTTGAAAGTCTCCACTGGACTTGATTCATTGTTATCCCAAGAATCCACCTCTACTCCCATGCCAGTGCGCATGATGATGTCAAACGTTACAAGATGGAAAACATGCTCCGCGTCGAGCAACTCTCCCGCTTCACAGCGTGCCTTCAGTTGCTCAACCATGGTTTTAGCAACGATCGTGAAGTCTCCGATATATCTGCGCAGCATGATACCTCCGAACAATGGAGACAGGAGCTTGCGGTCTCTTTTCCAGCGCATACCCGAACTAGTTGTTAAGCCTTCGCCAAGAAATTCTTTGAAGAAATCAAATAGGTACGAGAACTTTGGTGGGTCAACAGCTAGCAGTTGGGAAAACGTCTCTGGATGCCAAATGCAGATCATTGGGATTGGTCCTCTTTGGATGCGACAGATCTTCGGCTTTCTATTCACCCACGACAAGAGTTGCGAGCGATGCTTGGTCAGATCTTTGGAGAAATGGCCGTGGAATCCGTCAGGCTTATCCGGCTCCGGCACCAAGGCCATCAAACGCCGCCGTAGCGTCCACAATGAATACAGTTTTCTGCCGATTGCAAACGCCGCTGCAGTGAGAACTGCCAGTACAATACGTAACAGAATAGCCATCTTTCACCTCTCCTCCTCTCCACCTTCTCTTCTGACCTCTGTATATCGCCGTTCTCAGAAGCCGCGGTCTACAGACTGGCTCCGAACTATCGTTTCACTTTTTTGAGGTTGCACGAGTCAGATAGGATTCAAACACCTTTCATTATAATGTGATCACGCTCCGTCAACAAGATCCATCCCAGGCCCCTCCCAACTAACGGGTAGATGCTGTTCAAAAACGCGGTCTGTTCAGAGTACAGTCCGAGGACAAGAGAGGTGATGCGGTTACATGTATTCGAAGCATGCGTTGGTGCATCATGCTATGACCATTGATGACTGGCCTCCAACTCCATGTTTTACGACAAGTAGCAGTTAGAGGTCTCCCATAACCACAGTCGGATGACAAATAAGACACGATACCAGTAACTGTCCAGCATTATACCATACTTATGTCAACAGGGTGGGCACGTTTCACTGCTGGTCTGAATAGTGACAGATATCATGACATGGATCGTGTATTGTAGATTACAGCACTTGGAGATCTACGAGAGCGGCAGCATTGGCAGCAGACAGCGTGGACAGGCACTGAGCTGAGATCTCACTCGGTAAAATATACAAAGACGCCAATCATTGCTGAGAGCTGAAGCCAAGGAGACTGGAGGGACTACGTGCTTCCCGTTATCGTGTGCCTGCTTGCTTGGTACCTACTTCTAAGTACTGCCTATAAAATGGATTCCAGCGTACAAAACGTCTTTAGTCCAGCTAGCAACATAATGTTCTACCAACAAAAGGCCAAATTCCCATGTAAACATGGACCAGGATCTTGTCGAAGACTTCTACTTCCGTACCAGGCTATTCCTCAGGTACCAGTTCATTTCACATTCAAACTTGAGTATATGCTGAGAACGTTTGTGCTTCAGGGGTAACAAAACTTATAGTACTCTCCTGGCCAAATATATCACAAGGCATACATTATGTGTAATATCATACATATTGCATCTCTAAAAGGTTTTAGGCTTTAAAAAGCCTTTTGCACCCGGGTACTAAATCCACAGGTTCTAGCCTCGGCACGCACTGCCACACGCAATAGTCCGTGTATGCATTAATTTAAAGTTATCAAAGTTCACTCAATTAAAACACACGCTCTGTTTCCAGCGCTATACATTCGTGAACATCTTTCAGCAGTGTGAGCAATGATGCACATGGATGGCTGAGAACATGCCCTGAACTTGTCTCCTCCAAACTAACTTAGACTACAATCTGATGTACAGTCATGCGGGTCAGCACGGAGAGCCACAGGCCAGGGAGAAGATAAGAGCACAACAGAGATCAGGAATGACAGGAGGCGAAATACCAGGAGAGAGCCGCATAGAGCAACAGAGATCGAAAAAGGTATCATAATTGTAGAACCAATGAAATGTATGGATTAATAGCATCACAAAGGTGGAAACGTGCACAAATATGTGAATGTTCATGAAGTTGAAAGAGTTGATTCCGGGAAAGTCTGAAGACAAATTGACTGCCATCGCTTCGACTTGAGCCAGGGACCCTCGCAAAATAAGTTATGGCCAGTGATGCTCAACTATGCCTATGGCCGTGTTCCCAGCAGCCCAGTTAGAGGTCTCTCATAACCGGGTCTCTCATAACCTTAGGTTACGATTGCTTGGTCACATTCCCAAATGGGAATCACTTGGAATCACTCGGAATTATTCTCGCCCATTTGGTTGGTCACAAAAGTGCGTTAGGTTGGTCCCATTCCAGAATGGGAATCGCTGAGAATGATTCTTTTTGGAAAATGATCATTCCACCTCACATGCTGGAATGAGCATTCTCATTCCGGAATCAAAAATGATAATGGTTGCCACGAGCTAAACAATGTACCATCAGGTTCAAGTGCCTCAAATCATGCACTCAGAAGTTCCTCGACTCTCTCAAGGGAACTAGAGTCAGGTAAAAGAGAAGAGAGACGCCGTTCCACAACGACATCATGGAATTGTTATGTCAAGTGATTCCTAGTTGATTCTGGCGCATTTGTTTGGTCAGGTGATTCTTACCCATTCCCATTCCAGAATGGTTGTCATTTACATTCTGAAAATGCCCAACCAAACGCAACCTAAATATGCTCACCCCTCATGTTCATCCACACTAGCCCTTTCCCAAAGGTGCTCGCCCTTTTTGGCCCTTTTTGGAAAAGCCCGTTTCTTTCGCACTTTGTTGCGTTTTTTGGTGAATATCGCCCTTTTTGACCTTTTTTAGCTGAAAAAGTGCTAAAATCTGCTTGCTCGTGCATGCGATCACAGTTTCCGAGTGCTCGATGGGCCTTGGCACGCCGCTTTTTTGAGGTAAGGGGCAACAAGTTGGTGAAGCTTGTACCCGGTGTACACAATGCTGTAAAAAGTGGGTTTTTTGAACTTTACTTCCTGTTTTGCCTTTTGTGGAGTCGTGGACCCATAAATGGAAGAGTGCGTATTCATTTCTCAGCTTGGGTTCATATCTGAACATGTATCATGTCATGGCTATGCTTCACTGAAAAAGGAGCACTTTTTGCCTGTTTTCATTGAAAAAGAGCACTTTTTCAGCATATTTTGAGGGACGCGGAAAGCACTAAGTGCGAATTAAAAGAGCACCTTTGGGAAAGGGCTAATCCACACAATCATCCTACAGAATTTCGGACACAATTTCGCGCTCATTATAAACAGCATATATTTGCCTGCACAAGTCGCTTCACTAGTATATACATGTAAATCAAGGATCATTTTCACTGTTAGGAGATCTCCCCGGTAGGCTATGCCTTTGGGAAATCCTTTAAAAAATAAATTTAAATACTTAAAAAGTCGGCGTGGAGAAAGCAATTTTATTAGTGCAATTAAGAGTATAAGCGATGCAGACATTGCCAGACAACAACGAGTTCATGGACATTTTTAAGGATTTTTATGTTATTCAAAATCGATTTTCGTGTTCCGCTCATCAGTGAATAGTATCGGAACTGAGGGTACTGTGTACAAAAAATAGAACATTTTATAACAGCATAATTACAGTACCCTCAGTTCCGTTACTATTCACTGATGAGCGGAACACGAAAATCGATTTTGAATAACATAAAAATCCTTAAAAAATTCCATGAACTCGTTGTTGTCTGGCCATATCTGCATCGATTATACTCTTAATTGCACTAATAAAATTTAAATACACACGTACTTTGAAGTACATTCATGAAACTAATGCAGTCGAAAAACGAAAAAAACGAAAAAATCCATTCTTTCTTCAATTCCATTCATTTAAAATTCAATATATCTCAGGGATGTTGATTCCTTGTATAGGTTCTTCATAATATAATTACCCTCTTTATTACTACAACGCGTAGGGCGTGCCATGGCAGCCAAGGATTGTGGCAAACACTTGGAGCGCCGTCTTGGGTTATGGAAGGATGGAAATCTTATCGAGCTCCTCCATGAGGGCGACACGATCCAGCGCGGCTTAATGGGTAGGACTGGTCATGGGGGTCGTTTTGATGATGATCAATAGGCACCGGCGGATTATGCTCGCGAAATCAAGGAATTATGCTTTCATGGATTCTCGCATTATGCTCGTAAAATCCTCATCATTATGCTTTCGCACCCGGGAATATTATATTCACTTTGTTCTACTTATGGAGCCTCAAAGTTCGGGAAATTGTGCCTTTTTTCGTACTTGCAAGTTGCAAGTGGCCATACGTACAACAAAATACATGTACATGTACATGAGTATCCCCATACCAAGGTGTCCATGCATGTAAGAGGTCAACATGGAAAAGAGAAAACAATAATAACTATGATCTCGTGTCGACTTCTCCATGTATGCGATACGATCGAGTCTCTTCTGTCTTGTGCGATGTTTTCGCTCGCTTCCAATGTTGCCTAGTGCATGCATTTCGATAGGAGTGACTGGTGGTACTTCTTTGGTGGAAGGTGAGCTCATGAGGTCGTGCTGCAGTCTGCTCGTCACGGAGTCCTGAGCTACTTCGAAGCACATCACACGTCGGCAGTACAGTCGAGTCATGTACCTCTGGATTTTTTACACCGGTTTTGCACGAATCACATGGACCATTCAGCTGGGAAAGTGGTCCGGCCATGGCCGGACCAGCCTGACCGGTTACGACGGCCCTGATTCGCTGTTCATGAAGATAACATCGAGGGCCTCAGACAAGGACACACTTGACAGGTTACGAGCCATCGGCACTGTCAACAATTTTTCAAATTCTAAATACTTTCTCAATCGGCGCATTCGAGTTTATACTCAAATGTGGCCGGTTCTTCACGGGAGCGGCGCGAATCGACTGCGACAAATCTCACCCACTCCATTGTGAGGCTGCTCCAGTTCGTCATCGCCACCTGTGTGATCAACAATGCCTCGAGTAACAGTATTTTCAAACTTTTCATTACAATTTCAAATGCGTCAGCGGTATCGCTAGCCATTGGCGGACTATGCTCGGCCAATCGTCAAATTATGCTTTTGATTATGCCACAATTATGCCAACAAGTATGCTGAATTATGCTCGGTTCCACTATGTATTCACGCTGTACATAGAGGATTGAGAAACCACGCATATACACACGTACACGGCCATGCCCTAAGCATAATTTTTGTCTAAACCGAAAGATTATGCCGACCTTACACTTTAGAATCCGTATAATTATTATGCCGGAGCATAATGTTTTGACGAAATCCCAAGATTATGCCAATATTATGCCGGCATAATCCGCCAAGGGCTATGACAAGGAGTCGTAACTGGGGTATTAAAAAAAAAAAACATCTGCAGGCTTTCTGACAAAGCTGTATTATGCCCTAAGCATAATTTTTTGCCTAAACCGAAAGATTAAGGCGACCTTACACGTTGTTCGTTTGTTTGTTTGTTCGTATTCTTTATTTCGAGTGGGAAGTCCAAAACAGGCCCTAGCCTAATAACAATGGTCCCACTAGTGAGGGAATGCTGTATATCTGTGCATAAGGATCAGTGAGTGTAACAGCAACTAGTAGGGAAAGAAAAAGAGAGAAGAAAAACAACTCAAAACAGGAGTTGCGACTTGCATAGGGAGAAAATAACGTAACGGCCAGTGCATACAGCATTTGTAAAAAGGCTTATTTATCTGGAAAGCAAAAAGGCAAGAGCCATTGACTTTAAAGCGATTGCGTTTTCTTTCTTGCCTGACCGCAGCGGGGAGCTGGTTCCATAAGATGGT